ATCCATATTTGTTCAGAGTTATGCTTTCCGAGACCTGCCTCCCCCAACCTCCTTGTATCTCTGTTGCCATCCCTTGCTCTGTCTTCCTTTCTTTGTTTCCCTCTTGCTTTACTCCTTTCTTGACTAATTTCCTCTCACCTTACTCCTTTGCTTTCTCTCTCATTTATTCCCTCCTCTCTGTCCAGAACTGCTCCAAAGGCTGAAAAGGACACAAAACAATGACTTATACAGCCTATTTTTACTTAAAAAAGAAAGGAAGGAAGGAAGGAAGGAAGGAAGGAAGGAAAGAAAGAAAGAAAGAAAGAAAGAAAGAAAGAAAGAAAGAAAGAACACAGAGTATCCACTGGCTTACTAGAAATAAAGAAAATAAAGTACCAGTATATAATGTAACATCATAGACCTGCATGTTCTTGGGTCTAACATGTTTTTCCAAAACTATTTGGCTCTAGTCACTTCTTTGGAAGCTCCCTAAAGCATCACTAGTAACAAACTCTCCAAATGCAATTGGACTTTTACAACTCTATGGTACATGTCTATTACCTAATTTCACCATACTCTTCCTTACTAAAAACTCCTACTCATATTTCAAAACCCAGAGGCTTCTGTGAATCCTCTCCTGATACTCATAGAATGAATAGTTAATCTTCTGTCTAGATACCCACATCAAATGCTCACATTTCCATTGCACTCACTATATCGTACTTACTGATTTATATTTGCATCATCTATTAGACACTGAAGTCCCAAAGAGATAGAAAGGGTCCTTATTCACTGGAAACCCACTGCTCTCCACCCGGCCTGTATTCCCTGCAGTGAAAAAAATAGACTGTAGAATGTAAGGAAAGCTGTACTGAGGTACATGCCTAAATATCATGACTCAACATAAAGTTTTAAAAACTATACAAATATGACTTACTCTTCTATCACACAAAATGAAAGTGAAGTTTATCTCTCTTTTTCTCCCTCTCCCTCCCCTTCATACACAAAGACTTATATATACAGAATATTGCAAACTAGTTCCATGTAATCTTTATAAGGTTTTATGTATATGACTTTTGAATAAAGAATCTTCTTTTTCTTCTAAGGTTTATTCATATGTATAAGGCATTATAAAAGCCACACTTATAAAGCTTAATAGGTTGTGTCAATACTATTAATATTCTAACTTTTTCAAATATTAATACATATATACACATAAAATCTAAATCAGATATTTTATGCAATTCTGTATATCTTGCATCTCACGGGTTCCTGTCATTTTTTATTTTATTTGTAAATTCAAGGTACACCCTTATTGATTATATTTCTGGT